TGATACTATACAAATAAGATTGAAGTCTTATTCCCCATGCCCCTAATCATGTCCCCTCAGAAGACTATCCTGAATCTGGAGGCTGTTTTTTTTTTTTAAATTAAAAGTTTGTGTATCTATAAGTAGAAGTTGTTATGCATGTGTGAATGCTTCATAAAAATAATACTATGTTGTTACAAAAGTTGTTTTTCCTTTAAACAACGTCCTTGTTGACACGTTAATTCAGTTCATTTTTATCACTGAATTAATATACTATAACTGATCTACTCTTAATAATAGATTTCCCATCATATTTTTTTTTTTAATTGGAAACAATGCTGGGAAGAGGRGGAGGACGAAATAAGGGTGGTTGGGTTTGGTCAGTGTACAGTGTATTCAGATATGGAAATACCACACTGAACCCCATTCTTATGYACAGTTAACACATATTAATAAAAAGAGTGCTGCAACAAATATTTTTCTAGATATATTTTTATACAAATGAAAGTTTCTCAGAGCATATACACAGGAATAAAGTTGTTGAGAGCTAGGGATATATTCAAGCTTTGCCAGCCATTGCCAAATTGATCCTAACAGTGGTGGTCCCAACCGGGGCTCCCACCAACAGAATGAGGATTTTGTTTATTCCACATACTCCTCAATATTTGATGTCATCAGATATTTAAAATTTTYCAAATCTCATGGATGGAATGAAATTTCATTGTTAATTTTTATTTGCATATCCCTGTACTAGGAAGGTTGGCATCTTTGTGTTTATGGGCCTATTATATTTCTGTTGTGAATTGCTTATTCATATCCTTTGCTCATTTCCTATTGGATATTTGTCTTTTTCTTACTAATGTTTAGGAGCTCTTTAGATATTTAGAATATTAGGCTTGCCAGTTATATGCAATAGGGTATCTTTATCCAGTCTGGCCTTTTTTTTTTTTTTTTAAACATCATTTATTATATCGTTTGTTGTACAGGAGTTTAATGTAGTCAAATTTACCAGTCTTCCTTTATGGTCTGTGCATTTTGYATTTGGTTTAAAAAACTTAAATCAAACAATCCTTTCCAACTATGGGACCATAACAAGAATTTCTTTTATTTTTTTCTAAAAGTTTTAGAATTTTGTTTTTGCAGATGATAAAAGGATTTTCAATATGTTCGAGTGTTGGTACAATGTTTCCCACTAGGTGTCGCCAAAACAACATGTAAAGCCAACTAATAGTGGTTCAACACATTTTTATAATTAGGTATTCTTGAGTTTCTTTCTCAATCAGAGAGGTGCCTGTGACTGAGATGCATAAGATAAGACCTTGCCTTGATGAGTTTTTTTTTTGTTTTGTTTTCAGGCTTTTAAAAATTATTTTTGGCATTGGGGTTTGAATCCAAGAGTGCTTTATTACTGAGTTTTATCCCCAATTTTTTTCATTATTAYTTTTTTAAATTTTTGAGACAAGGTTTTGCTAATTAGCTGAGTGTTTCTCAAAATTGCTAATGCTGGCTTGKAAGCTGTGATCCTCCTGTCTCAGCCTCCCGAGTCACTGGGATTATAGGAGTGCACCACCAAGACCAACTGGTTTGCTGGGTTTTTAAAGGCAGCTAAGACAGATGATTCAGAAGAAAAGCGAACTACAATTTCCTTGTCATCATACAAATTTTACTATTTAGAGTAAGTTGTGATGTGGAATTTGACGTAGAGAATTTTAAAAAGATGTTTGCTAGCTATGATTTTATTTTTCTATGGTTACAATATCTTTAGCTTATGYTTTTCCAAATTATCATGGATTTCATGTACCCAAGCAGATCTAAAACTCTCAATTGAGGGAGGTTTTTGCCCCTAAATGAGTTTATACTATACAGATTAAATTGCATAGACCATTTTTATCACCTCTCTTGTGGAGATTTGAGACATCTATTCCCTAACTCATTTGAGGTTTAATAGAGGGGCCTCTCTCATTCTTTAGTAACAATGTTAAATCACAAGCTGGTACCATTTTTGAGCAATTTCTTATAGGATAAATTTTACAGAGGTATTTTGAAACATTTTTCAGATGTCCTCCTATTTGTTGCAGTCACATGAAATTACTTTTATGGTAGGATTTTTATTGGAACAACAGTGTCTTAGTTAGCTCAGCTGCTATAATGAAACACTAGAGACTGGTAGCTTCATAACCACAGCAATTTATTTCTCACAGTTCTGGAGTGTGAGATAAAGGTGCCGGCAATTTGATGTCTGTTGAGGACCTGCTTTCTGGTTCAGGGAGAGCTGTGGAAGGGGCAAGGGTCTCTGTTATGCCTGTTGTCTAAGGGCACTCATACCACTGGTGAAGGCTCTGTCTCATGACCTAATGACCTGCCTAAGGCTCCACTTCCTAATGCCATCACTCTGGGGTTAGGATTTCAACATGTGAATGGAGGGAGGGCCACAAATATTTACACCATAGCAAATGGTTGTGCCACAATTTGTCATTTTCAGTTTTTCCTAGGAGAGATCTTCATTAAATGGACAATAAGAAGTTTCAGGTGCAAGTCAGGCATGGTGGTGTAGGCCTATAATCCCAGCACCTGGGGAGGCTGAGGCCGGAGGATTGCAATTTAGCAAGGCCATAAACAACTCAGTGAGACCTTGTCTCTAAATAAAATACAAAAAGGGCCGGGAATGTGGCTCAGTGGTTAAGTACCCTGGGGTTCAATTCTTGGTACAAAAAAAAAAAAAAAAAAAAGAGAGAAGGAGAAGGAGAAGAAGTTGTTGTTTCAGGTACAGAAAAGGGAATTTGACCATTTGCAACTTCAGTGAAGGGAATAAACAGGATGCTATGATAGAGGGGAAGGGGTTTGGGAGGCTTCAAGGGGAGAGCAACGTCACTCTAGAAGGTGACATTTACATGTGTCCTGTGGGTGAGAGCAAGCCAGATATGCCAAGAACTCTGGAAGAGCATTCCAGGCATAGAACAACGGCCCTGGGTGGGGAGAAGCTTGAAGTGTTCTAGGAGCTACATGGTAACTGGAGGACAGTGACAGGGAAACAGTGTGCCACTGGATCCAGGTGGAGATGAGAGCTGGGGCCACTAATGCAGAGTCATGTTTGAATTTACACCCTGGAGGAAGCAAAGGAAGAATATGAAGCCAGAGGAGCACTGTGAGGCCTGATARGCAGAGAAGGAGGTCTTGGGGGTGAAGAAGAGACTACCTACATCATGGTTTGTGTAAAGATGCATGTACTAGAATGTTCTATGATTGACCAACCCTTKTTCCAGACACACTGGGCAGCYRTGTCTCTAYCACAGGTTGTTCCTCATTTCTCCTGTCTGCAATGCTCTTTCATAAACAAATATAAAAGCTATTTACTTTATATYAAGCAATGAAAGGAAGTTAAAGAAAATTATATAATCCCACTTTTTAGACATACATACTCACCCACCCAGCCACCCTATCCCCTCCCAGACCCTCAGATCTGCAGAGGAAAATGTTTGGAGGAATTATTAACATATTCCCTCTAGGAATGATGGGGATTGAGGGTATGATCGTGTGTGTGTGTGTGTGAGTGTGTGTGTGTGAGTGTGTGTGTGTGTGTTTAATCTTTTTCAATCAGCTTGCCCTACCTTTGAAACAAAGAAAAATAAATCAAATGGAAATATTACATAAAACCCAAAAGTAATTTCACTCCACACCATCCAAAACATTAAAATTTAAA